GCCGGCGCCGGCGCCGCCGCTGCCTCCTGGGCTCCGACTGCTGACGCCGCTGCTGGGCTCCTGCGGCGGCCGCCGCGCGCCGTCTCCCCGGGACCTAGGGGCCGAATCGCCTGCGCTGGGCCTCCTGAGAGCCACGGTCATCTTCAGTCCCCGGGCTAAGTTGCCGCCATCTTCGTCCAGAAGAAACACTTTTTTGGGGGGGAGCGCTAGCTTTTGCGTCATCTCCTCCCGCGCCGAGATCTCTCCATCCTGGCGCATTGGCACCAGATTCGGCCCAAGGAGGAGGGCGAAGACTGAAGAGGGAAAGAAGGATGTGGGGACGGACTTTGGGGAGCGCACCCCCACACTCACAAACACACACACATCGGGGGGTTTTTGAACTCAGGTTCTTGCTCTTTCTACACTCTCTCCCCATCCTCTTTTTTCTTCCTCTTATCGCTGGAAAAAAGTCAGAATGTAAATTACATGATTGGGGAAGATGTTTAATTGCTTCAGTTTATCCCCACTCCCTTTCCTCTCTGTTCCTGGAAAAAGTCCCAGTTTCAGACCGGTGGTTAGGGGTTTGTATTGGGGGAAGGGTCTCTCTGTTGTTTTCTCAATGAATGATTGTCGTTAAGTGCCGTTAAGTCGGTTCCGACTCGTAGCGACCCTTTGTTGGGTTTCCGAAGAGCGGCTGGTGAGCTTGAACCACCAGTCTTGCGATTCAAACCGACCTTGAGGTGGAGTGAATGATGGACATGAAATTAATGGTGAGGTCCAGGCGAGTAAGCCTGAACTGTCTAGAAGAGACAGGGTGATATTTGGTCTCTGGGCAACAACATCAGTGTTAAATTATTTTAATTGATCTTATACGAAAGACATAAATAATATACATGTATGTGTATATATATATATATATATTGTTTATGTTTTCGTATTCGAAAGTAAAAAAGATTAGTAGTGGCCTCCTAAAGTCTTAAGGGAAAAGTAAGATCTACTCTCATTCCACGTTTTAACCTCAGGGAATCCCTCCTCCAATCTGGAGCATTCTAAACTCCTAAACCCCCCAAAACCATCCCAAGCCGGCTGCCCCAGCCCCCCCCCCCCCCACACACACACATACACACACACATACACACACACATACAGAATTGAGCCCAGGACTTCCGCACTGCCAGTGGTTTCGGCTGCCTGGGAGTCAGTCGCTGCAGTCCGAGTCTCTGGTGCCCCTTAGCGTTGGCTTTCGGAGTTCTACGAAAGGAAAGTCTCAAGTGCCCTGGCTCTGTGCTGCCAAATATTGGAAAAATCAAAGTATTTTCTCTAAAGACCCTACCCTCTCTGCCCCGCACCACCAACGGAGGGCCAGAGGAGAGAGAAGTTGCATTTGGTGCCGGCATTTCCTGTGAGCGCATTCAACAGAGCAAAGCGCTACCAGTAGCTTTCTCAGGTGTCCTCCCACGGCAGGCAGCTTGCTCTACCTGGCAATTGTTGTTATGTGCCGTGGAGTCGGTTCCGACTCATAGTGACCCTACACAGGGTTTTCGAGGCTGTAAATCTTTACGGGAGCAGACCGTCTCATCTTCCTCCCGCGAAGCGGCTGGTAGTTTCGAACTGCTGATCTTGCTGCTTGCAGCCCGATTCGTAACCACTACGCTACAAGAGCTACCTGGCAATAGTTCTATCTTAATACGCTGACGTTTTGGAAGAAGTGCAGCCAGAGTGCTCCTTGGAGGCCAAGATAGCCAAACTTCGTCTCTCATACTTCAGACATATTGTCAGGAGGGACCAGTCGCTGGAGAAGGATATCATGTTTGGTAAGGTGGAGGGTAAGAGAAAAAGAGGAGGACCCCCCCCCCCCCCCAAGGAGATGGATTGGCCAAGTGGCAGCATGGATGGACTCAAGCATGGCAACAGTAGTGAGGTTGGCCCAGGATCCAGCAGTGTTTTGTTCTGCTGTGCATAAGGTCGCTATGAGTCGGTACCGACTCTATGGCACCTAACAACAACAATACACTGCCAGGGTACACATTCAAAACTGCCGTCAATATTAGTATGGCCTTTCATCTAAATCAAATCCTTTTAGAGGGGTGGTGGGTCTTGAGGCTGGGAGAAGTATTTTTTAAATTAGAAGTTGCAAAAAATATACTGACAAAGTCAATAAATTAATGCCATGGGGGGGAGTAATAAGATAAATTTTACCAATGTACATTTCATTCCTAGAAACGATATGCGTGACCAACAAAACCAGATCCAGTATGATGGCTGTTTAATCTATAGCGTGTAATGTTTTAAGATACTATTTTGGTACATTTGCCATTCTCGGGCTTTGGTTTTATGTGTATTGAAATCATTGATTACATGAAAGATCTAGAAACTACCAAATGTGTTTCCAATGGCAAGTTTATCCTTACATGAAAGCATCTTTACATAAGCAAAAAATTATAGTATTTTGGAAATTAAATCAACAAAACTTTTTTTGTGTGGAGGTTTGTATCTGAACCTAGCTGAATTTGCAGAGGTAGTCATTCAATTCTTCTAACTTTTTAAAGTTTAAATTATTTTGACATTGAATAAAAAAAAAATGTTCAGTCACTCAAAGATACAGATTTTGGGGGGAAAGATAAAGATTTGTAAAATCCCATAAAATTTTAGAAAGTTATTTTGTCTTGTATTCCACCCTCCCATCCTGACTGTTTCTTCTTAAATTGAAAACTCCTGTCCTCTTTGTTGTTGTTGTTATGGAATGTGGAGTCTGTTCTGACTAATTACGGGAGCAGAAAGCCTCATCTTTCTCCCGCTGAGCAGCTGGTAGTTTTGACCTGCTGACCTTGCAGCTCGCAACCCAATTCATAACCTGTGCTACAAGAGCTACTATCCTCTTACATCATGTCAAATTAAAGTATGGTGTGGTGCTGTTGGAGAAGCACTGGACTGAGAACCACAAGGTCAGTAGTTCAAACCCAATAGTCACTCCTGGGAAACCCTGCACAGGATCACTATGAGTTGGAATTGACTGAAAGCCATTTAACAACAGTAGTATCCTCTTCTTGCCAGTAAGTCAAATTTAAATATAATCTTTAATCTAAAGAGTTGCATACAGACATAACTGAGATGTTGGTGATGGTGGCTTGCTACCCAGTCGGTTCCAACTCAGAGCAACCCTGTATACAGTTTCTGAGGCTGTAACCTTTATGGGAGCAGAAAAAACTTTATCTTTCTCCTGAGGAGGAATTCATAGATTTGAACTACTGACCTTGCAATTAGCAACCACACCTGTAATCCATTATGGTACCATGACTTCTTAACTGAGTATAGAATCTTGCATGTTCTACAGCATAAACAAATGCTTGTGGAACAAAATATCAGAAATTTCATTTATGTTTCTCAATAAAAATAATTTTGCAGAACATGAAAGCAAATAGATCACATTCTACATCCTGAAATGATTCCTTCTCCATTCTGTTTTGAACCTGTAAACCCTTGTGATGCAGTGTACATTAAATTTAATAATCCAATGCCTATATATATCTGTTGTTGTTGTTGTTAAGTGCCGTCGAGGCGGTTCCAACCCACAGCAACCCTGTACAGGGTTTCTGAGGCTGTAAATCTTTACAGGAGCAGAAAGCCTCATCTTTCTCCCACGTAGCAGCTGGTAGTTTCGAACTGCTGATCTTGCGGTTCGCAGCCCAATTCATAATCACCAAGCTACATATATATATATATATATATATGTACAGGGTCGCTATGGGTCGGTTCCGACTCCACGGCACATAACAACAACAACAACATATATATATATATATAAACACACACACACACACACATAAACTCAGCAGTAGACATTTTTAAGAGATTTCACTTGCTTGTTTCTTTTCTTCTCTCTTTCAATTTAGTTCGTTAATGCCTGGATTACAGAGTTTGGTTTTATAATTCATTTTCTCTATATCTTCTGTCTCATATTGCCCCCCTCTTCATCTGTCTTCACCCTGTTTCTTCTTAATTTGGAAAAGCTACCTGGAAAGATGTATATCTTTTACACAGTCTCCTATTCCCTTGACTGGGAATGCCTACAGGAGATCCCTGAGCAGAGCACAGAAAGCTCACAGGAAGACTGAGACCTAGTTTCAGGTCACAGGGTTGATCTGAGAGACTCTGGTTTTTTAACATTTAAAAGGAAGGTGCATTGAGGCAGGAAGGTGAACAAGGTAACTGCTGTAATTGTTCCTA